TATTCGGAGCCTACCTGTATGACATTGTAACATTTAACTAAAGTTTCTAGTTCTAGCATATCTGTCAAAGCCATTCGCATCTGTTCCGCAATAAAAAATCGACTAGGACAGAAAGAGTGGTCCCCGTTCTCCTCCACATCACCCATCAGCGTCGTCAAATCTTCCGATTCCGCCTTTTCATCGAAATCTGTGTTTCCTACACCATCAGCTTCCTCCAGTAACTGCATAAGGACTGTGCGCATTGAAGGCATTTGTTCACTTTCTGAGGGAATTGGAGTTGGTGACATGATAGGTGGAAGATGAGGTGTTTCTATGGAGGTTGTAAATCCAGAGTCAGTAACTGATGACTGTTGCTGCAAAGGCGGTGATGTTAATGACACATGATCTGAAAGGTAAATTACATCCTAATCGTAATCAGATGCGACTATCAACCAAAAGCCTATTTGAAGAAGTATATTCTTATAGTTATATTGAAGAAAGTTCTGGATTTGACTAAAAAACAATCAATCAGCGTGATTGACAATTACAGTCAATGCTATGCTGCCAACATATTACTGAATAATATTAATACTATCATTTTATTCATAAACTTTGTATTTGGACTAAAATTGCTGTAAGAAACCGGAAAAAACTTTGGCGCTTTTCATTTTTTAGAGAAAGGAGATTATTTGCAAATATTCTTCCAATCACAATTATGTTGATAATCTCAACCTTTCAGGGAGATGGTCCAAACTAGCAGCCATCTTTCTTTTCAAATATCTTCATCCCCCCCTGCATGTAAATGCCATTGTGAGAGAGTTAATGTTGCTTCTAGAGGGGTGTGCGATAGACTTACCTCTATGTGGTGTACACTGGGCAACGTACACTCATATGGCAAAGAGTCATATGACTTCTGACTTCAAACTACCATGACCCGAACGTATGTCGTATTCGACCACTTTCACAGTACTCACCTTACCATTTTTCTGCCTTTGTGTCTGTCTGCCTCTGGTACATCTTCTTTTACCCCTCTCGAATTTTTCTCACTTTGATGTTCATCCCCTCTGTGAAGCCTGAAGTCAGCCAAAGGGCTAATGGTAACTATCAAAACGCCTGACATTCGAAATAAATAAATGTTGCCTCTAAAAATTTGACCCCATCTTCTTCGTTACCTTTTGATAATAGTTTCAGTGATATATACTCTGTGGTAAAACGTTATTCGAAACCAAGGTGATAACACAATTAAATGGGTGATTTCAAAATAAAATGTCTCTTAATACGTGGTTTAGAGCATCTCGTCAGAAATGAGAAGTCAATTTCTCTTTCAATACTCTGTGTTTAGGCATAAATTCCTATGAATTCTTTCATTCCAATTGCTCACCTCTCAGTTCTTGCTGTTCTGGCGTTCCTGGAACCTCATTCAGCTCCTGCTGACTCATATCACTATTCGCGTCTTCAAACAGAGAATACCAACTTGAATGAATTGTAGTGGCCGGAGATGCCACAGAACCATATTCCTCCGCTTGGTAACTAATCGATGGTTCTGAATGCGATCTCTTGATACTCCGTCTCGGTGGTTCCTCAGAAGTGTATTTTCGGGAGTCGAATAGCTCCAGGGGCTTAGCGGTCGTCTGGTTGAAGTTTTGATCAAAATCAATGCCAAAGGAATTTATAACAGCATATCTGAAAATTAAGAGAACATATTAAATTATAAAAGATGACTACAAAAACAATATATCAGCGTGATTGGCGATTACAGTCAAAGCTATGCTGCCAACATATTACTGAATAATATTAATATCGTTTTTTTTTCATAAACTTTGTATTTGGACTAAATTTGCAGTAAGAAACTGGTGTGTGATAGACTTACCTCCACGTGGTACACCCTGGGCAACGTATACTCATAAGGCAACTGGTAGTTGACTTCTGGCTCCAAAATACCACCACCCCACTGTATGTCATATTCGACTACTTTCACAGTACTCACCTCACCTTTTTTCTACCTTTTCTACCTACGTCTTTGAAACACTCTTCTGTTCCCCCCCCCCTTCTCAACTTTTTCAATTTGATATTCCTTCCCCTCTCTGTGAAGGCTAATGATAGCTATCAAATCGCCTGCCATATATAAATATTCGTAAGAGGAAATCTCCAGGCCTAGTTCGGCTGTATTCTTAAGGTTACTTTTGCTATTGGGATAAGTGCAACATGACCTTAAATCCGTATTCTCTAGCTTTGCAAGAGAACAGGTTAATCGGCCTACATCGTATAAACAGAGGGAGAAGGTCATCTGGATCACCTATTTGAATACCTTGAAAGGGCCTACGCATTCCTTCATATGGACCATTAGTGCTTTATGGAGAGCAAAGTTGAAACTTTTTTAATGTTGCGGAGGTATCTAAATTCTTGAAATGGCAAAAGGTATGGAAAATGAGTTAATTGAGGGGAGAAGAGAACGCTTGTCTCGATGTCTTCTGTTTACGCGATTTTTCAGGCTACTGAGCTTGCTCCCACTACTGAAAAGCAAAGAGAAACTATTTGCCAATAACTAGGACTCCCTTCATTCGAGTTTTCCCAAAATGATTCAGTTAACCCCCCCCCCCCCCCCCCCCCCCCCTTACAATGTGGGAATAATGTAATATGATGACTTTCTTCGGCCAAATAATTGACTAAATGTTGGAAAATATATTTTCCACCATTGTACACCACACAGAGAAAGAGAAATTAATGGGAAATATGCTTCATTTTGATTGGAATGTGATTAAAATGTCATAGTAAATCTGGTAGAATGTTTTATTCTACCCATTTGTTTAAAAAGCACTGAAGGGTGTTTTATTTTTAAATCCTTAGAGAATAGTTTTAAAATAATTTATTTATTTATTTATATCAAATGGCTGGCGTCTTGATGGTTATCATTAGCTCTTTAGCCGACTTCAGGCTTCACAGAGGGGAAGGAACATCAAATTGAAAAAAGTCGAGAGAGGGGTGGGAACAGAAGAGTGTTTCAAAGATGTAAGAGACAAACACACAGGTAGATGAAAGGTGAGGTGAGTACTGTGAAAATAGTCGAATATGGCATACAGTGGGGTCATGGCAGTTTGAAGTCAGAAGTCAACTGCCAGTTAATAGACTTTTGTCGTATGAATATACGTTGCCCAGGGTGCACCACGTGGAGGTAAGTCTATCGCGCACCCCAAATTTCAAAAATTAGATTATAAGAAAGAGAATGGTATCTATTGGAGGCAGTCAAAAGAGAACAAAGCCATGTTCCCAGAAACCATGTGGAAAGTTATTTGGATTTTTTGTCTTTTTTTCGATTCCTTTATTATTTGCTTTATGTTAAATAAAGAGCCTTCATCGATTAATTTTTGAACTGCTACTAATAAATTTTCATCTTATAACAAAATAATTTTTTAATTTCAACTTTATTAAGACTTGTTACTGCAAAGCCACAACTTGCATGCTATACTTAGTAAAGGTCAAATGTGGGCTTTGATAGTGAAGAACTAAATTAATAGTAGCTGCGCCAATAGGTTTGATGAAAACTGGAACTCCAAATATCCCTTTCAAAGTCTTGAATAAAAGAGCATAGCTACAAGTTCAATCTTCACATTTTATTTTTAAAATTAATTAAGTAACAACAAATCATCGTGACTTTGGATAGTAAAGGGCAGGACTAAATGTTACTTAAAGGTCAGTGTTTTGAAGAGCTAATGTACACAAATTGAACTTTACCATTACTGGTTTCCTGAATGCCACAAGTATATAGAAAAAAGCATTGACTTTATTTCTGCTATCAAGATATAACGACCAGAACACGTGATTTAATGGATTGATTCTCAAACATTTTCACTGACCTCTTAAAAGTACACCACTCGTTCG